CACCCTCGCGGAAGCCGCCTGTCCGTCCGTCCGCTCCCTCTCTCCGTTCGGTCCGCTCGTTTGCGTGAAATGAGAAGGGAGGAGGGGTCGGTTAAGCCTAATAAGAGAATTTGGGTTTGCTAATTACCATACTACCCTCACTTAATTAATTTCGGCAATACACAATGATAAGGGTAGTTTCGGTATTATTTGGTTTCTAAAATTAATAACTCCAAAAATAAGCAAAATTTGGTATAACTTCTATATACCAAAACGATCAGAATTTTGCGTAGGATTTTCTTAAATTAATTTCGTTGCATTCCGTTAACGTTGAAAATTTACTTAAACCTCGTCGCGACGCTTTAAAAAGCGTGCTAAGCCTAAAATAAGATTTTCGGGTTTTACAAAAATAATTAAGAAAATAGGAGAGAATTGAGGGAGGGCTGTTTGGGTATTCATTGTTTATTGTTTGCTTTAAGTATGTGATTTTCCTAGGGTTAGGGGTATGTGTCGTTTGCTAAATTTAGATTGTTCTTAAGGTGTTTGGGCTCTAGAAAGCGGCTAGAGATTTGGGAGAGCCGGAGCTTCCTCTCTAATTGAAGATCCACTTATATCTTATCTTTGCTTTCATGAAACTTTCAATAACTTGTGTGTTCTTTTTTTTTGTTTTCTTATTGTTGGTTTTTTGACATTGCTGAAATCAGATTTGAACTAAGGCTTTTCCTAAATTTTTGCAAGCACTTCCTATCAAATTGGTATCAGAGTAGTTTCCTAAGTTGAAATAAATAGTTTTCTCTCTGATCTTGTTGTTTTTAGTTGTTTGGAGGCCATATTTGCATCAAAGTTGCTATTTTTTTGCTGTTGGAGCCTAGATCCTAGTACCTATGGCAGGAAGAAAAGTAGAAGTATTGGAGGGGGAAATTGAACAATTGAAATCTGAAATTTCGGATCTCCAAACTCAATTTTCAAATTTTAAAAGTCAAATTTCAGCCGTCTATGAGAAGATTGTTGGAAAATTTTTATCCTGGAGAAGATGTTGAAGAAGTTGATCGACGACCAACACAAGTGAGAGGATGGGGAGGTGAACCTTTTTGTGGGAAGAAGAAAATATGCCACTTTTGGAGACTTCCAAGGAGGGGAAAGGGGGAAGGAGTGGTATTTTTGGTCGAGTTGTAGAATTTGGAAGGAGAAGAAGATGGAGAGAAGATGCGAGACATGGTTCAACCACTCCTATAGCAATATCGAGAGTCGTTCCAGCTAAGGGTCTCAGTGAGCAGAGATGGCTTGAGCTCAACTTGTTAACGAGCTTGCGAGCCAAAGCTTATTGAGCCACGAGCTCGAGCTCGAGTTTGATAAGGCTCGACTTGCAGGCCGGCTTGAATCACTATTAATATTTTTTAAATAACCGACACCTCTTTTTTAAAAATTCCGCCAACCGTTTCATAAATCCTACTTGCAATTTCACAATTCTTGACTGCAGTTTCACAATTTGAGGTGGACCACACTCGTGAGCTTAGAAGGCGGATGAACGGGACGATTGCGGAGGCTCCCGAGTTCGTCGAAAGTGGGTAGGACCGTGGCAGATCGTAGTGCACGAAAGACGACCGAACCGCCACAAGATCGTGAGCGGCTCAAGCTCGTTTACAGTGGGATGAGCCAAGTTCGAGCTTGTGTTTTGAGCTCGAGTTCGAGCTCAGGATTTGGCTCACGAGTCGACTCGACTCGTTTACACCCCTAGTTCCAGCCAATTCAGGGTTTGCTTCTACTGTGGGAACATGTGCTTGCCACATTTTGAATGTGTTTCACATACTATGAAGGAGTTTCACATATTAGTGTTTGTTCATATCGTTCTCCTCAACTCCAGAAGGATGAAATCGAGTGATTGATCAGGGAGATGCTTGAGGCAAGGATCGTTCTAGCTAGTGACAGTCCATTTTTCGGTCCAGTGCTTTAGCAGTAGTTTTCTTCATTCCACCTTGAGGACAAGGTGACACTTTGGGAGGGGAGTATTGATGGAGAGGACAATTGATTGGGAGGAAATTAAGAAGTTTCCTAATCAAGAGGGAGCTGTTTAGGAAGGTTCTTAATCAAAGGGGATTATTTGGGTGATATTTTTTAATTGAAGATGGCATATTTTGAGGCTAATTTGGAGGTAATTAATTAGTAAATATTTTCTAATTGAAGAGGGAAGATTTCGGGGCTGATTTCGGAGGCAAATAATTAAGAAAATAGGAGAGAATTTGGGGAGGGATGTTTGGGTATTCATTGTTTATTGTTTGCTTTAAGTAGGTGATTTTCTTAGGGTTAGCGGTATGTTTCGTTTGTTAAATTTAGATTGTTCTTAGGGTGTATGGACTCTAGCATGCGGCTAGAGATTTGGGAGAGCTAGATCTTCCTCTCCAATTGAAGATCCACTTGTCTGTTGTCATTTCTTTCATAAAACTTTCAATAAGTTGTGTGTTCTATTTTTGGTTTTCTTGTCGTTGGTTTTCTGATATTGCTGAAATCAGATTTCAGCCAAGGCTTTTCTTAAATTTTTACAAGCATTTCCTATCACATACCTTCCAATTTCCACATCACATACATGATTATAGGTATCAATTTCACATGCAGTGCTAATGCCCGAATAAATAATTGAACCCTATTAAATTAGAAATGTTAAATATACTAATCATATAAATCTTTTTTATATGCACAAAATAAAATTCTAATATACTTTATGTTTTTTTCCTCTTCCTCCCACGATTCTTCTTCTTCTTCCCTTAAACTTCTAGCCTTCCCATGGTCACTCTTATTTCAAACCGTCATCACAATGAAACCCTTGGTTACAATAAACTTTATTTTTAGATGGTAATCTCTTTTTTTTTTTTTTTTGGTTTACTTAGGAAAAATTACAATTGGGATTTAATTCCTTTAACTTTCAATTCTTCGCAATTTGACGTATAGTTCTATATGTCAAATTGCTCTATTCGACGAGTAGAATATAATGACATTAAAATTACATAATTTTGTGAAAGTTAAAATTTCAGGGTATCATTAAATTGATCATAATGTGACACACACCTGATCTTATTGGGTTTTACATTATAGGTCTATAACGTACCATTGAATATGCTGCTTCTATATGATGAAAGCTTAATCATCAACATATGTATATATTTACAAATATAAAGTGTAGGATCATTGATATGCTAAGGTGGTTGTATTAGAGAGTTATATTTTGATATCCACATAATTGGGAGTTTAGTTATGTTTTATTTGTTTTCTTATTGTATTTTATTGTCCTTTTCTCCCGTATGCTTATTTATAGACTCAACACATTCAATCAATAATTCATTAAACTTCTCGTCTCAACTCCTTTCTACATAAATTAAAGTATCATTTTGAAGTTGGAATCTATATATACTAAGGTCCTTTGTAACTTAACTTCAATGTTATGCAATTTCATCCTTCTGTGCTCAATAGTGTCAAATTCCAAAAGATTTCATAGATGCACCTTCACATGCACCAACACATACATATATGTGAGTCATTATATGGTTTCTCATCTGTCCATGTGTGCATGATTATGATTTTACATCTGAAAGCAACACATGCAGTAGTATATTATAAACCTGTAGCCATTGGCTTTCTCAAAGTTTTTGTTATTCTAAATCTTAAATCCTTCCAACAAAATGAAAAAAAAAAATACTCTTTAGGGTTTATTTTATGTATCACGTTTCCTAGGAATGATGGAATTTTCGCTTTATGGCTTTATGCATATTCAACTCTACAAATCCTTAATTGTTTAACATATATGGTTTTATGGTGATTGGTCTCTATCTTTATTAGGAAGTTCTGCATTTCACCTCTGATTTTTATATTCATAGTACAACAACAATAACAACAACAAGCCTTTATCCCACTATATGGGGACTTTTTATATTCTTAATCTTACAAAATAGGCTCTTGAATTCTTGATCCCTAAGATTGTAGTCATTTTACATGTTCAGACTTGGTTAATGGTGTGCAGTTTCTGTCTTTGTTGCTGTCAATTATAACTTTATGTCTTTCGGCCCGCTTGTGGAGGTGAGGATTTTGTACGTTGAAGACTCAGTATTCATATATTTATATGCATGTAGAAGAGTTAATATGCTGCTTGTGGAAGTTTTATTAGATTAAACACACGTTCTCAATAAATTTCCATTTTTTTTTTTAAATTAACCTATGGTCCTATGGATGATCACATATTATTTTTTAGTCTATTGATTAAAAAAAATAGTCCAAACTAATATTGTATCTCAATATTTATAAATCTGGTTATTACTGTTTTGGATATGCTTATTAAAATAATATAACTAGTTATTGGTATTTTGGATATTGTCACTGAAAAGAATAATTTTCTCCTTTTTTTCAAAATTGAATACACAAAAGTTAATTTAGGCCATTGTTGGTTAATTTTTGTTTTTTGTTTTTTTTTTTTTGTTTTAGTTTGGTAAACCTAGGACTGAGTCAGCAATGCTTGGAGATGGAAAGCAGTTATTTTACGTGGAACCATACAACTCAGTTGATTAAAATGAGGATATATAATGAATATATTATCCACTTTATAAAAGATAAAAAAATCTATAAAGGTTGTTTGAATCCCAGGAGTTTTATGCGAACATTCTTCAGAGTGTTTTGTCCAAAACAGTGCGCATCTGGCAATAACAGTTAATGATTTTGCTTCTTTCCTCTTTGATACTTCTGAAGTTATCCCAAATCCCATCTTTCCTCCACAGCATATGAAGTTCAATATAACGTTGAACTTGAAAATGATAGTTAATATTGAATTTTTATATTCCATTAAATAGGTTTGGAAAATTCCTTTAAATGTCTCAGATTTTACTAAGAACAAATGTCCTACTGCAGAGTACTATTAAAATTCTCATTTTGTTCCTTATTGATATGTTGAACAAGGGCATGCCCATGCGTGGTTCTTATTGCTTAACAAGGTCCTTGATGAATACTGCAATTTTTGCTGAAGTTGGATTTTCATGCAGGTTTCTCTTACCAGCCTCTCTTATTGTCATCAATGACATTGCTGCATATTTGTTTGGGTTCTTCTTTGGGAGAACACCATTGATTAAACTGTCTCCGAAAAAAACATGGGAAGGTTTCATTGGTGCATCAGTTACAACCATTTTATCTGCATTTTTGGTAAGAATTGCTTGCTCATTCTTAATTTCTTCTTTTTGTTACTTGGTCTGCATATCACTACTTGTGTTGTTGTGAAACCCTAGTTATAAATTGCTAAAGAGAAATGAAAATTGGAATGTTCGGGGAAAGGAATATTGAATACGGGCGATTGATTTGGCGCTGTAGAGAGAAAATAAGAAATTTAGTTTTTTATTTTTTTAATAAATAAAATTTGAAGTATAAGAAATTATATTAAAAAATCATAAAATATTTAAGACACGTTGGTCCAATTTCTTTTAATTATTTTTTAATCGGTTGCATCTTCAGCGTGTCGGAGGAGTGTCGATGCGTGTTGTGTCCAATACATGTCGGATATTGCATATCTCTTTGAGGAGAAGTATCGATGCATCATAGACTCCAGGTATAGAAAAAAGAATTCAGCTCAAGCTGGATTTCCATAGACCTATCAACTAAACAACATGAAAGGCCCTATGAATGTCGTGTGTAAAGAAACATATCATAAGATAGAGGTACATAACCTCCTATATAAAATCGTTTAGATGAATGGATATATTTGCATAACAAAACAACATCAAACCGTGGAATAATAGTGATGTAGGACTATAATGGTTGCAATGATTTTATTAAGAGCTTGCACAACTTATTGATTAGAGAGATAACATTTATAACTATTAGCAAATAAAATGATGAATCAAAACATAAGAGCGATCACTTTCGTTTAGGCTAAGTTGCATATAAAGAGATTTGAATCAACAAAATATCATAGGAAAAATAGCATCATTCAAAGTAGTAGCTTTCAACAAAAATCCCTAGTCTAACAATAAGATTAGAAAACAAATGAATGCACTCAAATCCCTACGTTTACTAAGCTTAGCAGAATCGGGCAAACACGACCTTCATGACTACAATCAAATCACAAGAAAGGATTAGACTTAAGAAATACGAGAAAAGGAAAATTAGAAAACCTTTGTCAAGGATCGGTTGCATTCCTCCACTCGACGATCTCAAGTTGCTCTTCAACAGATTCAACCAAGGTGTCCAAGATGCGTTCTATGTAGTCTTCAATCGTATGGTCGATCCTCGGGTTGTCGTCGAAGAAGGTTGAATGGAGAATGTGCACGAAGCCATGTTCGTCGTAGGCATGTCTGTTTTCAGTATCGGGATCGGCCATCCATGAATTCTAGATGACGATTGCTTCCAAAGATTACTAGGAACCTTGAACTCCGTCGATGAGAAAGAAGTTTCTCCTTATCTTGAAGTGGGGTGAAGAGGTGTGGCCGGCCAAAGGATGCGGGGGAAAGAGGAGAGGTCGGTTAAGTAGGGAAGCACAAATTAAAAATCTAAAATAAATTTAAGATTTCTAATTGGGAGGGGTTAAGGAATCAAATTTGAATTTAATTCCAAGGGAAGAAAGGTGCATTAATGTGGAGAGAGGGGATTGGAAAGAGATAGAGAGGGGGTGGGTAGAGAGAGAGAGAGGGATGAGGGAGATGTTTCCAAATCCAATTATAAGGATTTGGAAAGTAACTAAGAGAAGGGGCTTTGAAGATTTCGGCCAAGGGTGGAGAGGGGAAAATTAGAAAAGTTTCCAAGAGAGCGTGAGGGGATTTGGAAACAAATCCATGGGTATTAATGAGGGGGGGCCGGCGGTATGATGTGGCCTAGGGGATTAAATGCCAAGTTTAATGCTTGCTTAATTTGGGTTTTTAGGAGTTAGGAAAATTAAATCCAATTTGAATTTGAAATTCAAATAGATTTATTTTAGGAACTTTCCTAAAATAGGTTTAATAATTTAGGAAAGATTTTAAATTTCAAATTGATTGAATTTGAATTCCAAAATATGCCCAAATTATGTCAATCCAAATTTGGCAAGGGAGAGCAATGAGAGAGAGGATATGGGGCCGGTGGGTGGATGGGTTCGGTATTGGGGCCGGCGGCTAGGTGGAGATGTATGTGGTGTTTTGTGGAGGGAAGGGGAAAGATTTGGGAGGGAGAAAACCGTGAGGGTGATGTGGCCGGTGGATGTGGTCGGAGAAAAGAAGATATACGAAATAGAACCACGAACCCGAATCGTCTAGGTTGGTGGGTGATGCGTAATTCTCCCTCTCCTAGGGATCTCTCTTTGATTTCTCAAGCTCTCACAAGAACTCATGCAAGGGGAAGAAATATTTTAATCAATCATTCATTAACTTGCAAAGAAGAACAAGTGGGCTATAAATAGCCTCTTACAATGACTCAAACATAAAGGACGACAATGCCCCTAGGGCTTACATACGACATCCCTTAAAAGGGTACAATGGGAAACTAAATAAATCAAATACAATACAACATCAGAAATAAGAAAAATACATAAAACAAATCAAAAATACAATGACTCAATCGTGGCCACGTCTTCGACAAACCTTCCATGATCTGATGTCCCCATCAAATAGCTTTTAAAGTGTACCATATCCATGCTTTACCAATAAATTATACCCTGCTCAATTATATCCTATTCCACAGGGTCAATCTGGATAATAGCAAGTCACTTGTTAATTATAAACTAGTGTTAGATAGTAGATGAAATACAACAGTAAAATAAACGAAGTATTTTGATAAAATACTTGTGATAGTTTTTATACGTTGAATCTAAATCCTTATTAAATTAAGTAATTCTAATATGATGTTCATCAGTAATTTTGACATTTGATGCCATTGGATTCACTTGATATGGTGGCTTTTTTAGCACATCTGGGAACACGGAAAAAATGCTGGTGATTTTTGTTGGGTCAACCACTCAATTGCAAGATTTTGTTTAATAAAAGTTACGTTAGGTTAGTTATATTCGTCATTTAAATTGATCATACCACTTGTCTTACCCGATTTTAATCAATTGAGATTGGGCTTAGAGGAATGATTAGTTTTCCTGGTCTTCTCCATTGTGACTTGTTTCTAAATCTCATCACGGAAAACTCTCTGTTATTATACCAAATCCTCTGTCATCCTACTTGTAAAGTTTTGTATGGACAAATCAGTTGAATAAATATTAATTGAGGTATAAAAAAAAATTGTCCTCCAAATATAATCAACTGTAGCCTATTTTTGATACCACTGTGCTCGTTTGTTAGGATAGTCAGCTTCCTTTTCCACAGCGTGTACACTTACATTTCTAATTTCATGCATAGCTGTAGATGGGCATTTTTTGGTGCATCTATATTAAGTAAAATATTCAGATAAGAGGATGCTGTTATATTTTATTTTTGTTTTTTATGTATGCAGTTGGCAAATATTTTTGGTCGCTTTCTATGGCTAACATGCCCAAGAAAGGTAATCTGTCTTCTTTTTCCAAGGAAATCATCAAGCTCTCAAAACAATATGACTTCATCTGATGTTTCTGGTTACCTGATTATTTAGTTCTTTTGGTTCAATTTCTTTCAGGACTTGTCCACGGGGTGGCTTTCCTGTGATCCTGGTCCTATGTTTAAGCCTGAAATTTACTCCTTGCCTCGATGGGTGCCTCAATGGGTAAATGATCAATCAATTTCTAGTTGTTCTCATTTTGCACACTTTTATATGACTGAATTGTTATAATTTCTTGCATTTATTTATGCTTCAAGCATGGAAAGGTTGTACCTCAATGTTTGGTCTAGATAACGAGATTTATCTTTCATGAATACATAATTTTTGGATTTCTATATCACGTTCTATTATTATAAGACTCAAATAATTAATCTAATTTCATGCTGTTCTAATGTTATAGATTTAGATAACTGGTATTGATATCCCATTTGACTACAATAATTTAAGTTAAATTTTTGAAGAAATGTCTTTTCTAAAAAGGTAATATGCTATGCCTCTATCCATATAGGCATTAATGCATGTCTATTTTGAGGTGGGGAGGAAGTGCATTAAATACCTGACCTTTAGTACCACTATATATGTTCTCACTTTTTTTCATACTACGTAAAGTGCGGAGGGGTCATACTTTATGAGCTTTGTACATTTAAAGCTTTGGTTGAGGGGTAGGGGGTGGAAGTAAATTTTTTGGAATACTTCCCTAATGGTGGAGGGGTAGAGGGGTTAAAGCTTTCGCTTTGATGCATAAGATGGATAAATGTTTTCAACATATCTTGAAATAGAAGATAGTATGGTCAGGTTATGTATAACGTATTCATTGTAAAATATTCAAAAAATCATCTTTAATAAATTGATATCCGCTTGACAATTTACAATATCAGATGTGTAAGAAAATTTAATATTTCAACAAATAAAGTAGAATTGGTCATTATCTAGAAGACTAGAACCAAATTTCATCAGGTTATGTATAACGTATTCATTGTAAAATATTCAAAAAATCATATTTAATAAATTGATATCCGCTTCACAATTTACAATATCAGATGTGTAAGAAGATTTAATATTTCAACAAATAAAGTAGAATTGGTCATTATCTAGAACCAAATTTCAAATGCATAAGCAAAAACATGAACTAAAAACAAATTTTTTATCCATTCTAAAAGCTTAAATACTCTTTCTTTTGTTATTTATTTTTCTAGCCTATCCAATTGCTTACTGATGCAATTACACTTGTCAATAGTGTCACTAATGACTTAAAAATGCAAAAAATCAAGTGAACTTGATCTTGACCAAGCCAATATGTTAAAGACCCAAATCAGTTGCTTTGAAAATCCCAATTTGATTGTTTGGCATGGTGGCACGTGTTTTGACCAAGCAAGTCGTCTTGAGATGAGGTGCCAAGGAGCAAGTTCGTGTCCTGCCCATTTTTGAAAGAAAAAATGTTAAAATCGGGAATTTGAGAGGGAAAAGCTTGTCTTTATTCATTACATTCTTCCCTATTTATAGTTCTATACAAGATATCTTAATGAGGAAATAATAAATTACATGAAATTTCTAATAAAATCTTTCCTAAAAATCATTCCTTCTTTATGGCGTGATCAATGAGAGCATCCCACGGATTGATCTTTATGTCCGTCGGATCTTTTGCACTAGGAACGACTGGATTTCAACACTTCCTCTCAAGCTGGGAAATATGGATCTGTCATCCCCAGCTTGTCAATCATTTTGAGAAAGGCGGAACAATCCTATCCTTTGGTAAGGATATCTGCAAGTTAATCTTTTGATGATACATGGTCGACACTTACTAGACCACTGTCTAGTTTTTCTTTAATAAAATATATGTCCACTTCTATGTGCTTGGTCCTGTCATGCTAGACTGGATTGTGGGCTATGCTGATTGCTGATTTGTTGTCACAATGTAGCTTTATGGGCTCATCCCACTTAACGTTTAAGTCTTCTAGGATTATTTTGATCCATAGTAGCTAACATATTCCCAAGGTCATATCTCAATATTCTGCTTCTGCACGGGATCTTGCCACCACGTTCTATTTCTTGCTTCTCTATGTAACTAAGTTACCTCCAATAAAGGTGCAATATCCAGAGGTAGATCTTCTATCAATCGGTGATCCTGCGTAGTCAGCATCTGTGTATACTTCTAGGGTTATTCCACTATCTCTCTTAAAAGAATCCCTTTTCCTGGTCTTCCTTTAAGGTAATGCAATATCTTGTCTATCGCTTGCTTGTGAATCTGCTTTGGATTCTGCATAAACTGACTGACCATGCTTACAGCAAATGCTATGTCTGGTCTAGTGTGGGAGAGGTAGATCAATTTCCCTATAAGTCTCTGGTAGGCCCATTTATCTACATCTGGATCTTCTCTAGCTTCCCCCAGTTTAAGATTAGGTTCTACTAGTGTTGGTGCTGGTTTACAAATTAGTTTACCTGTTTCTTTTAGAAGATCTTTGATATATTTCTGTTGTGAAATGAAGATTCCTTTGTTGGAGTGAGCTACTTCAATTCCGAGAAAGTATTTTAGTTTACCAAGTTCTTGGATGTCAAATTCCTTAGTAAGAGTTTTCCTTAAACTAGTTTTCTCCTCTTTATTATCCCCAATCAAAATAATATCATCAACATACATTAATAATATTGTGACTCCCCTTGAGTCTGAGTGTTTAAAGAATAATGTATGTTCACCTTGACTCTGTCGATACCCATTTAGGAGCATGAATTTAGAGAACTTCCGAAACAGGCCCTTGGTGATTGTTTAAGCCCATATAGAGCCTAGCTTTTTCAGTCTGCACGCCCTGTTATCTTCTGATATTTCTTTAAAACCTGGTGGTATTTTCATAAATATCTCTTCTTCTAAATCCCCATGCAGGAATGCATTTTTCACATCCAATTGTTCCAGATGCCAGTTGTATTTGGCTGCTAGTGAGAGTAGTATTCGGACATTATTCATTTTGGCTACAGGCGCAAACATTTCTTGGTGGTCAATGCTATATGTTTGAGTGAGCCCTTTTGCCACCAGTCTTGCCTTATATCTCTCTAGTGTGCCATCAGCTTTGTATTTTACTGAGAACACCCATTTGCAGCCGACCAGTTTTTTCCCCATTGGTAGATTGACGATTTCCCATGTTTTGTTCTTTTTCAAGTCCTGCATTTTATCCTTCATGGCATTTTTCCAATTTTTATCAGATAAGGCCTTAGAAATATCTTTAGGAATATGGATATCTTCTAATGTAACCAGGAAATTTTTGTGTGACGAAGAGAAGTTGTTGAGGGATATGGAGTTATTTATAGGGTATAAGGTAGGTGGTGAGATTACCTTATTTCCAGGAGATGGTTCAGATTCTTGGATCTGCTTTGGAGCACAGCTTGAGCTTGTACGTCTGGAGTAAACATTTACAAATCTAATGATAGCTTTTTCATTTGTTTCCCTATCTTGGGTTTCAAGAGGATTGGTTTGAGGTGGTGGAGGAGGAAGGTCAAGAGGTGCTAGTTCATTTTTCTCATCTTCCTCATGTTTAGTCTCCCCCTGAAGATGAGGTTTTGAAAAATAAGAATTTTGCTCATCAAAAGTAACGTCAATAGAGACAAGGATTTTTCTTGTGGGTGGATGATAACACTTATAACCTTTTTGGGTAGCTGAATAACCAATAAAGATGCACTTGAGTGCTATTGGATCTAATTTTTCTCTCCTGGTTGTGAATATGAACATAGACAGTGCATTCAAAAATTTTGGGCGTAAGATTATGATGAGTTCAAAACTCGGGGTAAAAGGAGGACAAAGTCTCCATTGGAGTTTTGAGTCCTAAGGCTGTTGAAGGTAATTGATTTATGAGATAAGCTGCAGTTAAAAGAGCTTCCCCGCAATAGGATTTGGGTGTATTGTAGTGAAAAAGGAAAGCTCGGGTGGAGGCTAGAAGGTGACCATTTTTCCTCTTTGCAACCCCATTTTGTTATGGGGTGTGAACACATGAGGACTCATGGATGACCCCTTCACTTTGAAAGTAGGAGGAAAGGGTTTGGTTGAAATAATCTTTGACATTATCGGAGCGGATTCTTCTTATTTTAACCCCGAATTGATTTTTGATCATGGAATGAAAGATGGGTAGAATGATGCTAACATCAGATTTGTTTTTAAGGAGATGTATCCAAGAGACTCTAGTGCAATCATCAATGAATGACACAAACCAGCGTGCCCCAGAGATATTGGGGATTTTTTAGGGTCCCCATATATCACTATGAATAAGATCGAAAGGAGTATCATATCTCTCACTTTTGTTTGGGGATGATGTTCTTTTATGTTTAGCCCACTCACAGGTTTCACAATGAAAATTTTTATTTTCTAATTTCGGGAAAAATTGAGGATACATATGTCTTAGGACATCAAAAGATGGGTGTCCTAGTCTATAATGATGAAGCCAAATAGTGAGATTCCTATCGAATAGGGATAACATAGAGCAACTATTTTTAGATTGGTTTGGTTCTTCCAGGTAGTACAATCATGCTCTCTCCTTAGCAAGTTCAATCTTCTTCCCCGATCTCTGGTCCTGAAATAAGCAATAAGTAGGGTTAAATAAGGCTTGACAATTATGGTCATTGGTAAGTTTTTATATGAATATTAAATTTGTGGATAATTGTGGTATGTGGAGGACATTTTTCAGGGTGAGTGAGGGAGATAATATTATGTCTTCTTGGCCAGCTACCGTGGTAAGAGAACCATCAGCAGTGATTATTTTCTTTTTGTTTGGGCAAGGAGTATAGTTTATGAGGTGGGTAAGTGAGTGGGTCATGTGATCTGTGGCTCCTGAATCAATGATTCATAATTGCTTTAGATGATTTCTGGAAACACTTAAACTAATAGAAATTGGAGTCTTACCTGAGAGTGCAAGTGAAGAAGAAGCATTTGGTTTTTCAAGAGGTATCAGGAGTCGTTTCAATTTATCGATATCTTCTTTATTGAATTCTCCAAGGTTGGACTGTGCTTCTGGCTTACTTGTAGTGTTGTTGGCATGTGATGTGCTCATTGTTTCACCCTTTTGATTCCACTCCTTGCTGGGGGGTTTTCCATGTATTTTCTAGCACGTTCATTTGTGGGTCTTGACTTTTTGCAATAGCTGCACCAAAGTGAGTCATTGTCTTTGAATTTTGAAAAATCTTTACCATTCTCCTTCCATGACGATTCTTTGTTCATCACCATTGTAAAGCTTTCAACGACCTTTTGTTCTAACATCACTCCTCGTCGGCTTTCTTCTGCGCGGATGAGAGAAATGGTTTCATTGAGTGATGGCGTCTCCTCTTTGCCGAGAATCTGAACCCTAACTTGGTCAAATTCTGCATTTAGTCCTGCAAGAAAATCATAAACTCTATTTTTTTCAATAAAGTTCTTCAGGATCGCAGTATCTTCCGGGCATCTGGTTTCTATGCATCTATAGTGGTCAAGTTCCTGCCACAGATTTTGTAGAAGAGTGGCATACTCCGTCATGGTCTTACTCTCCTGCTTTGTGCTTCCAACTTTGACTTTAATTTCAAAGATTTGAGCCGCATCACGAGCTTTGGAGGTCTGTCTGGCAGCATCCCATATGTCCTTTGTAGTCGAAAGGAACATAAATTTATCGCTAATTTCTGAAGTCATGGAATTCTACAACCATGACATAATCATGGAGTCTGCTTCATCCCATGCCCCAAAAATATGATCTCCTTGTTTTGGTCCTCCTCCAAGAAGATGGTGTATTTTTTCTTTCTCCTTTAAATAGGTCTTCACAAATTGAGATCATTTTAGGTAGTTCTTTCGATTTAGACGATAGGAAGGTTGCATGCTTTGGAGGTCACCCCGTCCTTGATGCATCATCGATTCCTCAGTTTGGTCAATGCTCTGTGAGGAATTAATTTCCGACATTATGATAGTAATTAAGAATATCTAACTTGGTTAACAGTGAAGGTTTCCCGGAATAAATTTCCCTTGTCGACAATAAAGGTCGATAATGAGGATTTTTCTTCTTTTTTTTTTCTTCCTTTTTTGTTAGAAAAAAAAATAAAAAGAAAAAAAAACCGGACGAGCCTTGAAAAAGGCTCGGATTGGACTTAGGGCACGGTTCCACCCCCAAGTCGCACGCAGGCGTGGCTTCCTCCCGCGAATCACAGGCGTGGATCGGGCTTCCGATCAGCTTTGACTGGTATGTGCGATCGGGGGGGGGGGGGGCATCGAGCGGGCTGTTTCATTTCTTCGTCGGCTTGCCCTTTCTGTCGGATCGGTGACGCTTCTTCGGCTCTTTCGACTCCTATGTGGTTGTCGATTAGGCTCCTTCGACGACTTTGGCCTTCCTCTCGGATCGGAAGTTCCGATCGAGTCGCTCATCCCATCCAGCGGGCGTATACGGGTTAGCAGCGATCTAGTCTCAGATGCCCCGAGCTTTTCTTTTCTCTTCCTCCTCCGACGATCTAGGATCGTTCTTTGACGGCAATTAAGGCCGTTGGCTTTGATATCATGTTAAAACCGGGAATTTGAGAGGGAAAAGCTTGTCTTTATTCATTACAATCTTCCCTATTTATAGATCTATACAAGATATCTTAATGAGGAAATAATAAATTACATAAAATTTCTAATAAAATCTTTCCTAAAAATCATTCCTTCTTTATGGCGTGATCCATGAGAGCATCCCACGGATTGATCTTTATGTCCGTCGGATCTTTTGTACTGGGAACGGCTGGATTTCAAAAAAAAAAAAAAAAGGCTACACACTCTTTTGTTTTCAACATGCCTTGAGGTTTATTCATATGTCAGGGAGCGTATGATTAGGGAGTAATGTAGAAGTATTTGTGCCTTTTAGATAGCCAAATATATGGTTTAATGTATTTGTTTGAATCAGTATATTTATAATTACTGATTTGCACTATCATGAAAGACTAGTAAGAATGTCCTTGCTTTCATGAGTGCAGTATTTTCTTATCTTTGCAGCTCAAATGAGTGTTGTCCTTGTCCATTGTTCATATCATTTTACAAGAGATGAATTGGTGAAATAACACCAGAAAATGGATTTATTGATTTGAAGTTTCATTAATTGAACTTTGAAATTCTTACTCTTTTTGGTGTATGCCTAATTTCTTTCCATGGAATATTAGTGTTCTTTCAAGTCATTCATGAGACATGCATTTCTAAATCTTAAGATATTTGCATCTAGATGACTAATTTTTTTGTGGTTTAAAGGCAATTTGGGGCTCACTGAGGGGTGGGTTATGAAAAAATTGCCTCGAGGCAACCAGGGGAGGCTTTCCGCCTGAGCATTGCCTCGGGTGCCCATGGTGCGTCTTTTACACATTGTAAGCGTTGCAATTGGCCCATGTTTTGATGTAAGTGAACTTAAATCATATGGTTCCAAAACTCCAAGCAAGTATCAACTCAAATTATTTTTTTCTTTGAAAATATCAAGCAATTTCTCAAGGCTATTTCTAAAGCTTGTAAAACAAAATAAAAATAAAACCGGGCATGGTCAAATTGCTCTCTGCTCACTTATTGATCTCTGACTAACTCACTTCCTCACTATTTCTCCCTCGCCGATTCGCTTCCTCATAGAATTGCTTTATCACTGCTTCTCCTGCACTTGTGCTACTATCTCACCATCTCACTTGATCATTGTTTTTCCTATATTGACTCAATTAATCTCTCTAATTGACTGCCCTCTCTCACCGTCTTGCTGGGATCACTTCGTCTCTACCGACTCACCAACTTACTCCGCTCATCATTGCCACAAACACACTCGTAGTGTCTCTGTGTCACCTTTTTATTGGAGAAGCTGGTGGTCTTGACTCTTTGTCAGCATCTCTTTGTGGATCTCTAAAAGTGTTAAATTCAACGAGGTATTTAACAATTTTTTTTAATCTTTATAGTTCATGTTGCATGGTCCGGGTATTTGAGATCTTTGGGATTTGGATGTTAGTTTTTTTTTTTTCATATTTGGAAAGTTTTATAATATAAATTTGTTTAGCCTTCTTTGTAGCACTTAGTTTTCAAATCTTTAACAAATGTTTACTGTTTGTGTTACTAGAGTTAGAATGTGAATGAAATGATAATGAACTTTGAATTTTGGAATATATTTCAAGTTTGTCCCTATATTTATAGTATTTTAATTTCTGAAATATTTAAAATATTATGAAGTTTGCAAGGCCCCAGCTCATGACAGGTTAAACGTTTTACTTTATGCTTCCGCCTTTTGAAACATTGATGATTTTTTGCACCAATTTTTATTCAGATTCTGTTATCCATATGTAATTCTTACATGTTATAGTCTAGTCACATTGATTTGTTATATGTTATGGGCATCTAGTATGTCATTAAAATTTTAATTTGCACGAGTGAAATCTACTTGTTCATTCTTTATATTTGATTGCCTTGGGAAACTTCTTTATCAATGTAATATGGAGGTCATGTGTTAGTATAGTTTCCATAGCCTAAATTTGATGGGACTATTATACATTTTTTCAATTTCATGTGTACCGTTCTTATTATTGGTTTGCTTTATAATAACTGGAGCATTTCGCTTTGATCCAAGCTTATCTATGCTTTCACATGCAGTTTCCATGGAAGGAAACATCAATTATGCCCGTGCAATGGCATGCCTTAGCTCTTGGTTTGTTTGCATCGATTATAGCACCATTTGGAGGATTCTTTGCCAGCGGATTCAAAAGGGCTTTCAAACTTAAGGTTCTTTTTTCTTCGACTAGAGATTGAGATTGTAGAAACTAGTAAGAAGTTGTGGTAAATGGTCTTTTTTTCATTAAATTTGTTTTCTTCGTCGTAGGATTTTGGTGATAGTATTCCTGGACATGGTGGCATCACAGATAGAATGGATTGTCAAGTAAGCGACTATGATTTAACAAACTTTTAGCTAGCAATCAATTTTTCTATACTGAAATGCTATTTGTTTGACACAGATTCTTTTTTCGCTTATTGTGAATAGTTTAATTTAAACTTATTAATTGATTAGTGGTTTCTGCTATATTCAATAATTTGGGCTATCAATCAAAATCTATAGTTGGCATCCCTAACATGTCCTAAACGGATGTTTTATTGCGTGTTAGAATTGGTACAGTTGCCCTTTAATTCTGGAGTCCATCCCTAGCTGGAAAAATCCTTCTAATTGCCCTGCTATCACATTCATTTATGTAAGGTCTTATATTCCGTCCCTAG